CCCACAACTTGATTCTGGGGAGACAGGGTTCTCAACTTTGGCAGGTCTGCCCCCCAGCGGCCAGGTTGCCTGGTGGAGCCAGTTCCAGGAGGGAGGACTCATCTCTCCAGCTGCCCTCTTCCCAGTTTCCCTGCGAGGAGGCCACGCCCCGTTGGGGCCGGCGCCGTGTGACTGGTCCACCCGCCCGGGGACGGAGGCCCCAGGACTCAGCGGACGTGGCCAGCCCCCAGCTCGCAGCAGGGGCTTCCCCTGCAGCCAGCGTCCTGGAGCCGGGAAGCAAAGCCTCACGGACCAGGCGGCTCAACAGCAGAAGTGTGTTCTCTCAGGATTCTGGAGGCAGGAGCCAGAGGTCAGGGTGCCTTCAGGGCTGGTCCCTCCCAGACCGCGGGGAGGAAGCTGTCCTGGGCCTCTTCCCAGTTCTGGGGGTGTCGGCAATCCGCGGCGTTCTTGACTCGCAGACGCATCAGCAGCCTGTGCCTCAGTCTGCACGTGGCCCCCCTCCGTGTGCATGTCTGTCTCCAAAAGTCCCCTATTAACAAAGACACAGTCCTAGTGGATGAGGACCCACTCTAATGACCTCGCTTTACCCTGATGACCTCTGTAAAGATTCCATCTCCAAATAAGGTCACATTCTGGGCTCCTGGGGGTTGGGCCCCCTGCTATCTTTTTTGGGTTCAACCCCTAACACCTTGCTTGATGATGCGGGGGTCCCTGCCTTCCAAAAGAATGCCTGCCCTCTGGGGAGGGCCCCCCCCACTACTGATGGGACCAGTAACCAGAGCCCCTGTTTGGATGTGCTGTCTCTGCCAGAGCAGGATAACGTACCCCCCAGCACAAGGCACCCGGCCGCCGGTCTGGGACTATGTTCCTTTCCATCCCCCCCGCCCCGAGACCATTTGCATTCCCGTGGGAGGGTCTGCCGTCTTCATGTACCGTCCTGCCCCAGGGCTGTGTTCTCTCCTGTCTTCTGTGATTTTGTGCAAAGGGACTGGACCTTCTGACAGATGTCACAGTCCCGCATGGTCTACTGTGTCTGGCCTGAAGGAACAAGGAATGGCAAGGATGTTGGAGGCCTCATGAAGATGCCTGAGCCGGCAAGACTCAGGAGCCCTCCACATCAGCACCCTTTTAAGGGTCTAGTGGTCTGCAGCACGTGGGGGCATCCTCCATGAGGCAAAGAGCCACCACTCAGAGGGAGGGAGGACATCACGTGGAGGCCTCTTCGGGTTCTGAAGATCACATATTCCACATCTGGGGGTCCTGCTTGGACTCATTTGCTGAGTGACGTGGGAGGCTGCCAGCTCTGATTGGGTCCAGAGCAGGAAAGGCCCTGCAGACATTCTCAGTTGGGGAAGAGGCAGCCCTTGGGCTTGGGCCTTGCAAACAGGCAGGTCTTACGTCAATGGTGTTAGAGGTATTTATGGTGGGAAAAGAAGCCGTGTGGCGTTACAAGCCCCAACAGGATCATCCCGGCATAGACCCTAAGGTTCTGGAGCGAGGGCTGGCCACCAGCAGAAGCATCAATACCGTTCATGCAGCAGCCCCGGACTTGCTACTGGGCCCTGGTGGAGACAGAGGGCTAACCATGGGGCATCAATTGACCACACAGGCGGGACTGACCAGCATGACCTGGATTCTATCTGATCCACGACATAATAAAGTCACGCCCCCCCAGCGGCAGCCCACCGAGCATGGAAACGGTGCCTCTAAATCAGGAACAGTCACAGTGAAAGTCACAGGTGAGTGCTTGGGCAGGTCTGTTGGCTTCCACCTGGGAACACTTATAAGAGGACGGTTTGTGGGCCAGATTAGAGAATCACCTCCAAGTCTGCCCTGGAGGCGGGGTGAGGGGAAAATTCTCCGATGCGCAGAGCTTTAAGGAAGCTCTGGGTCTATATGCAGCACGTGGGTCTGAGCGAGTCAAGGTGTGATGGTGTCTCAGCTTGGGGCATCTCCCTGGGAGCATCCGACCTCAGAGCTTGAGACTGGCTGAGCCCCCCTTGGAGCTGCATCCAATCCAGCCGCCCCTGCTCACTTCTGCAGCCTTGCTCCTCTACGGGCGCTGCCACACGTAAGTTCCAGCGCCCCAGAGACTGTTTCCCAGGGACTTGGACCCACCACGCTGGTTTAGAGAGCGGCTGTTGCATTTTGTATACTTGTCTTGTGTCCAGTCATCTTACAAAATCCTCTTGTGAATTCTAGTAGTTCTTAAATAGAGTCTCTTGAGTATTCTGGGTATGTAATCATCCTCCAATAAGTGTAATTTTGCCTCTTTGTTTCCAGGATATGCTGCTTACTTTGTTTTCTTGACTTGTCTCATTAGACAGAACTGCCAGACAGACTGTGAATAGCAGTCGTGGGAGTGAGGCTCCCCACCTTGCTTCTGATTTGAGCAAGTGCAGGTTTTTAATGTTATTTTAAGGAAAGCAATTTAGAAAATCATATTTAGGTAGTTTTCTTCTTATTCTACATAGACTTAAAAAAAGGAATGCATATTCCATGTTTGAATGTCTTTTAGGTATCTCTTGACAAAAATTTTGTTTTTTTCTCCTTTATCTGTTGATGTAATAAATTACTGACAGATTTCTTAGAGCTAAGCTGTTCTTCTATTTCTAATAAATTCTGTTTGTTCATATTTTCTTATTACATTGGGCTGTATTCAGTATGTCAGTATTTTCTTTGAAAATTTTATGTCAATACTTGTAAACGAAATTTCTTGTTGTTTCTTTCCTTCATTATTCTAAAAGGGTTTTAACGTTAGTGTAATGCTGACTTTTAAAAAATGAATTTTGGAGTTTTCCATATCTTCTATAGATTGAAATTATTTTAATAACAAGGGAATTCCATGACTTTTGAAAGTTAAATAGAACTCATCTCTAAAAATGCTGGAGTTTTGTGCTTTTAAAATTGCTAGACATTTAATAACCTTTCCAAATTTGGGTCACTTGCCTCTCAGTTGTCATAGTCTCTTTTGTTTTGGTCAAACCCTGAAAGTGTAAGACCCCCAGATGTGTTCAAATTAGTCAGTTCACTGGATAATGGATGGGTGAGATTTCCACTCTTGTTCAAATTGAGAGGCACTGAACTTCCTGAGCAGGCTCCTTTTGGTTGAATTGGGGAACTCAACAGTGGCAAAAGCCTACATGTATTCTGCAAGAGAAGGCTTGCTGTCACAGACCTATGGCTGGCCTTCAGTGTATGCTTTAAAGTGAATGCAAAATGAACGTGCAATTCACAGACGACAAATCACAAATGGTAACTAGCATAGGAAAAAACGGTAAGAGAAACCCAAGTTTACACATCAATGTGTACCATGTAAGATGGATAGACTTTTAAGACAATCGATTTTCTCAGCTTTGGAGAGGGTGTCTGAAACATGGCTATGAAGATAAATTTGTACATTTCAAGAGGCCAGTTTGGCAATTTTTGCCAACCCTTAAAATGTGCATACCTCATGACCCAGCAATTCCTCTTCTAAGAAATACTTGTCCAAGTGCACAAGCACATATGTGCCAGGCAGCTCTCAACAGTATTTGAAATAGCAAAAATGGAAGACATTAATCAGCCACCCAAAGAGGGGTAGTTATGCAAATTGTGGACTCGTCATTGTTATGGAGTGTTCTGCAGTTACTAAGAAGAATGAAGTGGGTCTCCGTGTGCAGGCGGGGAGTAATGTCTGTGATGTATTGCTGAGACAAAGAGCCAGCCTGCAGAATGGTATGCACAGGGTGAAGCGTTTGTGTACGTTGGGGTGTGTGTGCTCACATGCTCAGCAGAAAGGGGGAATGGGAAGGAGTTGTCCTTTTATTTTATGCGATTTGTATGACTTGACTTTAAAAGAATGAGCATATATTACTTTGGCAATAAAACAGAAAGACTTTTTAGTGCTTGCAACAAAGATGCTGATGTAATTTTTACACCGCTCGGCAGTTTATTTGAGAAGGAGGCTTCCTCATTCTGGGAATTGGACTAAACGTGGCTTAGCCTTAAAGGGAACTAGAAAAGGCATTCATTCTATTAATTAATGCATCGGTAGATTCCACCTCAGCAAAGGCTGTCTTAATGAGGTGCCCGGGGCACCACTGTTCATCTTACAAATATCAGCTCAGGGCCCTGGTCGTGTCAGGCATTGTAACAGAGACCCTTTTTCAGGACGCTGTGCTGGAGAAGCACAGATACCTCCCAGACCCACTCCCTCCTCCAGGCACCCAGTTCACCACCCCCATCTCCCTGTGGATGACCTCTGTGCCATTTTCATCCACTCGCACTCCTCACCTCTTTGTCCCTTTCCCCTCATACTTCACACCCTCCGGGAACCCCGAGAAAGAATCGTTCCAGCCTGGACTGCAGACCTCACTCCCACCCCTCACTATGGGCATCTTGGAGACGTCCCTCTGGACATCTCTTTCCTAGCCTCCTTTCCTTAGCGCTATTGGGAGACCCGGGGACACGGGAACCATCGTACGCGAGGCCGACACTGGTACCGTTGATGGCACAGAATCGAGGCTGGATGAGCTGATGTAGCAATATTCCCCGTCCCTCTCTTGGTTTCCGGAAATTCCGCTTCTGCACGGCGCACCCTGTCTCTGGCGTGGCCCGCCCCACCCACTGTCCTTTGCCCCCTTCCCCGCCCGCCGGTAGCTGTCCGTGGTGCTGACCCCAGGGGCCGCCCGCGCTCGGCCG